GACTAAAGAGTCTAGTGAGATACCCTATTCATGTCATTGCADGGTGAAGGATCACCAAAACCTTTATAAAAACAACTATTCATATATATAACAAATATATGAACACACAAGAACGTAATACCATATCATTTTCCACTTTTCAAGCTAATTACTTAGTTATTCAAATTTCATAACTTTGAACCAATCGGGTTCCATACAATGCCACCTTTTAAACCTTTTCTCATCAAACGAGGTTTAAACAAAGTTTTCGGCCAAACCTGTTCTTTTCTCCTCAATAACATCCAGTCTATGATTTCCAATTAAGAACCTTGATCCTAAATCCTTAAATCACAAAGAAATAAAGATTTCAGACCTTGGTAGTCTTAAATGATATAATAGAATGAGTTATATAAACCACGCACATACAAATGTCACCCTTATATCAAATGTACACATCTCCTTGATATGCCACCCTTATCCCATGGTACACCTCTCCTTGATATGTCACTCTTATATCAAATGGACACCTCTCATTGATATGCCACCCTTATATCAAATAGACACCTCTCCTTGATATGCCACCCTTATCACTTCATCAAAACATTTATAAAAATAATTCCGAATAAACCGCAGCTATTGGAATTGTTTATCAGTCCAAAATCATTTATATCAAAACTTCATTTTATAATAAAATAATAATTTCCGTCAAAAATATTTTCAACACGAATCCGGTCAACGATCCGGTCAACAATCCGGTCAAGTATCGTCCGATTAAAACACTTAGAAACATTTCCAATTTTGTCCGGATATCAAGTCCGGACAACAATCYGCATAAGCTTTGGTCGGTTTTAACACTTAGAAACAAAATCATCTTTGTTCGGATATCAATGTCCGGACAACTATCCGCTCAAGACTTGAACGATTTAAACTAATCCGGTCAATAAGCCGCTTAAGGCTTGTCCGGTTTAAATACTTGTCCGGTCAATAAACCGCTTAAGGCTTATCCGGTTTAAACTAAACCGGTCAATAAGCCGCTTAAGGCTTATCCGGTTTAAACTAAACCGGTCAATAAGCCGCTTAAGGCTTATCCGGTTTAAACTAATCCGGTCACTCTTTGTCCGGATAAACACTTAAACAAAGTATGCAAGGTTTCTTTCTAAAGAATAATAATATGAATCATGYAAACAAAACCAGTAGTAATTTTATGCAAAAARGTTTAGAAACCACTCACCTTAATAAGCTTTTGAAACCAAAACGCTTGAAATCAACCCTTTTGAAATCCAACACTTGCAATCAACTTGAAATCACCCCCTTTTTGGCAAATCCCGACAACTCTCTTTAAATTTCTCTCAACTTTCTCAAAAAAAAAATAGCAGGAAAGGGCAAATGAGAGACTAAGCCCCCCCTTTTATAGCTTCCAAAAGTAGTAAGTCGGCTAAACCGACTCTTCCCCTATTTCCACCTCATGCACATGCACAACTCCACATATGCACACACATACATACATCCATGCACATAATAAGCATATATATATATATATATATATATATATCTTTATTCAATTAATGCACAAATTCACATATCAGCATGTATCAAATTATCATGCTATCACGTAATCATTTAATTAAATAATCACATATTTATTACCTTGGGTAATAACTAGGATCCGGTTATTACAAACGGATCCATCTACCAGTATAATGAAAATTACGAAATATGATCAGTATTCGTGGATTAGTCTGTTGATTAAATTTTGAAACTAATTGCGTTCATATAATGTAATTCAAAATTTAAAACGATTCACTCCATATAATTGAATATGGTGTGTTATATTCATTTTTTTATATGTTTTACCGATGGATGTGATTTAAAGTTAAAAATAATATATTGCTTTAAAAAATGAAAATAGTGTCATTAATATCGAGAAAGATGTTACCAAATGTTAAATTTTGTTTACCATTTTTGCCCTTACTGTTGAAATAAAATAAATTTTTAATATATATATATTTTTAATTTCCTAAAATAAAGTAAATTAATCTTGGCCATTGATTAAGAAAATGGATGGATGAGATTGGTTTACACGGTTTACACAAATGGGGCAGGTTTTTATTTGAACGCTCCTCTACACACACATACACATAATATATATATATATATATATATATATACTATATATATATATTATATTTAAATCATGTGAGAACCAAAAAAAAGTTAAGAACCATGAGGACAAATTTTAGTCATTAATTAAATTTAATCTACAGTAATGAAATTTGATGTTATTTTTGTTATACTTTTGAAATTTGAAACTAATTATTAAATAAATGATAAGTTGAATGGGACATTTTAGACATCAAAAATTATATTAATTATAATAAAATTTAAATTAAAGATATATTAATTACGATACACTTTTTAATCAAAAAATCATATAGAAAACAAAACGAACATTTTTTTTTCTTTAATTTGACACGAGTATCATTAATTCTTTTTTATATTTTTTAAATAAATTCAATTTTTACATGAACCAAAAAAAATGATTTAACTCGTATGTTATTTCATTTTGTGAAACAACACTTCAGTACTTCACACCACATTTCACGTTATTTTTTGTTTCTTTTCACACTATGAAATAACACTACATTGTTTCATCATGTGAAACAACACTGCATTGTTTCACCATGTGAAACAACACTTTAGTGTTTCGCATCCCATTTCACGTCAACTTTTGTTTTGTTATGTTTTCAAATTTTTAAAACAACACTACATTGTCTCACCTTGTGAAACAACAATGTATTATTTAATATTAACGACATTATGTTGTTTCACAATATTAAAGAACAGTTTAGTGTTTCATGTATAAAAGAACACTTTAGTGTTTCACTTTCATATCACATTTCAAATCAACTTTGTTTTATTTTTTACATTGTCGAACAACAATAATTTTGTTTCACTTAAGTGATATTATATTATTTCATTGTGTGAAACATTGGTGTATACAAGTGATGTTTTATTTACAAATTTTTATATTTACTATATTTTGTGTTTCTCATGTGATGTTTTTATTATTTAAAATAGTCAAATCCATTCTATAAAAATGTAAGTTTTTCTATATATTAACAGTAAATAATATATGTGTGAAAATTAAATTAATAATACACTAAACTAATGAAGTATAAAATATTACTGAAAATTAAAATATATCATATTATTAGATACAAATTACATCATATAAGATTGAAAATATACCATCAATAAGTATATTCCTCAATATATATCTACTATGTATTCAAGTATATACGTGTTGATGTATATACTTACTGAAATTCATCACTTATATCCATCAACGAATATACGGGTTCTCATAGTTCTCACGTTTTTTACATAACCACCCTCCTATATGTGTATGTATAGACTTAATCAAATGAGAACCCCTAGAATTTGTGAGATGAGTGACATCCAAAAATCAATATGAGCAATTCAGTTAAGATAAATAAATATATAAGGGTAATTTAATATAGAAAAAAAAAACTCATAAAAGCATTTAATTAATTATATTTCCTCTATAAATAGGGAATTTATAACTCCCATATAAAATTACTGACAATGTGTATCCAAGTCTTTACACAATGTTTTTAGAGTCTCTAGTTCTTTTGGTTTTTTGTTCTTGATGTTGTTGTTTAATATTGTTTTCACAAATTAACAAGGTATAATTAAAGCATCTGGTCATAATATTTAATCAAAATAATATATTTGATACTGGTTTATATCGTGCTTTTGTTCACAAGTGTTCTTGTGGATTGATCGTGCAAAAGATAGAGGAGAGAAGAGATAGTTTCGGAAAAAAAAATACTCATAAAACCCTTAATATATGTTTTTTTTTCCAAAATTACCAAAATTATAAAACCGTTAATTTATCCCTCGATTTCAATTAGTTTGTGATTGTGCTCATAAAATACTCAGTTCTCCCTTAAGGCTGCATTTGGTACATGAGACGGGACAGAATAGGACAGGACGGGATAAAACCCACTGTCTCATGTTTGGCGCAGCATGGGATAGAACAAAAACTCACTATCCCACGTTTGGCACGACATGAGACAGGGACAAGAACTGGGAGAGCATGAGATAAAAGAGGTTTTTTCTTGTTCCACCAAATTAAGTGGAACAAGATGGGACAAGAATGAGACGTAAACTAAAATATTACTAATCTACCCTAGTTTGATATATAATCTTAATATGATATTTGTTTTAATGGTCATCACCGCTAGTTTCGGCCGCCGCCCCCACTACCAGCGTCCACCTCCACCTCTTCTTCCATTACAACAACATCTTCCACCACCTCCATAACCACCGTCCACCAAGTCCATTGCCACCTCTACCATAGTTGACCACCGACCACCACCGTCCATTGCCACCACCACTACCGCCATTCACCACCTTCAACTCCTCCTCTACTGCAACAACCTCCTCCACGACCACCATCGGCCACCACAATTCATTGCTACCTCACCTCCACCATAACCACCACCACAACCACAAATACCTCCTCCACCGTTGTCAACCACCACCACTATCTACCATCTTCATGTCTTCTATAACCACCGTCGTCCACCAAGCACCACTGCCTCTACCTTCAAAACCACTGTCGGCCACCATCGTCCATTGCCACTACTACCGTCGGCCACCACCACCTCCACCACCACCACTACCATCAATTATATCAAATTATGAAAAATTATGTTCAAATATTATTTATTCTTTAATTATTTACTTTATTTGTGTTAATTATAACTATTATATAATAATTAAAATCATCAAATAACTTTTAAAGGGTAGTTTGTCTAGTTTTATCCCGTCCTAGTCATACAAAACACCAGACATACTCTTGTTACGTTCAGTCCAGTCCAGTCCCGTCCAGTCCTACTCTCTTGTCCTGTTCTGTTCAGTCTTGTCCAATTATGTCTGCGTACTAAACGCTACTTAAATGATGATCACAAAAACTTATTTTAATTTATAGTATAGAATCCAAACGTATTTCTCTTGTATAAAAACGTAGTACAAGTTCGACAACCAAAATTTCATAATCATACGTTCCAAAAACAAGAAGAACAAAGCATACGCATATTTGTTTGTGTTAGTTCCTCGAAAAATGCTATCGAGGTGTTTTCTTCAGTTTAGACAATACTTCAAGCACGGGTTTTTTTTTTCTTCGTATAAGTCACTCTTAATGTTCTCCTTCATCTATAGACGACGAGCTTTTGTTATGAAGTATCCCAATCCGGAATGTTAGAGGTAGCTTCGTTCACCATCTTTACAAGCGTAACCTACATCGTACGTACGAAGAAAACGTCAGTACAAACCTTCAATTTAGTTAAATAATGTTAAACGAGTTTGTCTTATTACGAGCACGACCTTTTAAAACGTAATAACTCAATAACCCTTTAAATGACAATAAACACCGTGCTCCTGTAAAATTATTGAGTCAACCTTTTTAAAGATTATACTCCTAATTAAAAACTCATTTCATTTAACTAGATGAACCCTTCCATAGAACAACATTCAACTAAATGCGCCTGATTGTGTGTGGAGTTGGGTTCACGTGAGACCAAGGGTTTTTTCGTGAGACCCGTAAGACCAATTTATGTTCATTGATCAACTTTATAAGCTAATGATCTAATGGTCTAAAGTTGCACGGTGGCAATTATGTGATTACTGATAAGTCTCGTGGCGTTTATGAATGTTCAGATTGTCAGATTATAGATCTAATCCAAGGGTTGAGAATTGGTCTTACGGGTCTCACGAAAAACCCTTAGTCTCACATGATGTGTGTGTGTGTGTATATATATATATATGGATGTGTACATAGAGTCAGAATCATGATATTGTGGGAATATTACATTATATCATATAAGGGTATCTTCGGAGGTCTCACAACAACCTTCACACCATATAAATGGGCCTTCACCTTTCCATTTGTTCTCACCAAAACCCAACCTCTGTGCATGTGTGCATGTGTGCATGTGTGTATGTGTGTATGTGTGTATGTGTATATAGAGGGGACGGTTCATATGAGAACCACAAAAAATTTAAGAACCGTGAGAACCTGTACATTCATTGATAAATATACACGATCAAAATATGTATTATGTCAATGATTATATTCATCAATGCATATCTACTATGTACGCAAAGTATATGCATCGATGCATATATTCACTAAAATCCTATTAGTATATACATGAATAGATATATACATGTTCTAATGGTTCTCAAATTTTTTGTAGTTCTCACATGAACCTGAGCATATATATACATATATACACTATACACACACACATATACATGTAGGCGCTTTTAAGCCCTTCCCGAAGTAAAGAGGGAATGGCCCTTCCTCTTACCTATATGTGTGTGTGTCTACTGAGCGAGTGGGTTGATTCCCCCAAGCTCGTTCATTGAATACACAATCGTGCAAGCAACAAAGCACAACTTTGATGCACCAAAGATCCTCAGGTTTGCAAGGATTGGAAAATAGAAAATGGATTCAAAGAGGACTCAAATTGAGCCTTGTGAACAAATGAAACCATAAATACAGGAAAACGGACGAAATTGAAATTTACAAAAAGAAAAAGAATGGCGACATATAAGAACCTATTTTATATAGGCATAATCGGTCTGAATTTGACTTTTTAAGTATCAAATTGGTTGCTTATAAACTCTAACTACATAGAAAGCAAGTTCATTGTAGATGAAATCTTGAATAGTTCGGTAAAACTATTTAAAAAGTATTCCCGCATATATTATATACATTTGAGCTAGAAAACTAAAAAATCTGTGTGTTTTGCCTTACCAAAACACTTCATCAATTAATAAGTACCATGACCTTCTTGACATGGCAAACCAAGCCAAACCAAACTAAAAGAGCCCGGTACATCTCACTCAAGAGGTGGGGTCTGGGGGATGTATGCAGACTTGTCTTGTGAAAATTACTGGCTTGTGAAAGTGTGAGAAAAAGAATGTTTGCCCGAAAAGTTGAAGATTTTGAAAAAAAGGAAAAGACTTCGAAAAAATAAGAACTTGGGGCAAGACCTTCTCGACATGATACAAAACCCTATTAACAAGCAGTGTCCTAGGTTTAAGGGATTTATAGCGATCGATAATGGTGCCAAATTATGGATGAATCATTTAGAAGATTTCGTTCATTATACTTACCACACTTTCAGGAACACCAGGTGGGGGTAAAGTGAGATTTCTTGGTGGAGGTCCTTGTAGATGTGATCTCTTGTCAAATCGCCATTCTCCAATCTTTCCATATGTTAGCTCTCCCTGCAAAATCAACAACTTAAACTATATTCCAACAAAGAAACACTAAAACGTGAAGCTTCAACCATTTGAAGCATTAGTCTTTAATCCTCCCTCTGTCCCGAAATAAATGTCCACAATAAAAAAGGCATACAGTTTTAGAAATGTGTAATTATTACACTTTTTAATTAACTAAATGACAATTTTACCCTTAATAATAAAAGCAATGAATTTCTTCATCCCTAATCAAGTGTAGAATTGGAAAATGCTGACACTTATGAAAGTGGACACTTATTTTGGGCAAACTAAAATAGAAATGCGGACACTTAATTTGGGATGGAGGGAGCATCCAAGAAAATGAATAATAGGGAAGCAAATTACCTTCATATTGTAGTCACATCCATATGTGTAATGAATAATAAACCTTTTGCCGATTTCCAAGTCCCATGGGGGCTGACAGATTGAAGTCAGCAATAAACTTTAAGAACACATTTCATCGTATTATAAATGTTAACTCAGGCTTGTGACTAAGGATATGTTCGGCAAACTACAAGCTAGATGAAATGTAAAATGACCTAAAAGGACATGTTAAAAAAGTTAATTGGAAAAATATACGGGGCATACTAGGAAAATTTTGGGGAAAACCCAAGAGCTTGTGGAAATGCTTCAAAACTCTATCTTATGGCCAACTAAATGGGGGTTTTTCAATAAGTTCGAAAAATAAGTTAGCTTATGGCTAAACATGACCTAATACATAAATGATAAGAAAAGTGGATTCAAACACCTGGAGCATAAAATCTTTCCGAAGAATGTGTTGGACACCATGCAAAGCAGAGGCCACGGCATATGCATACCTGATACGAAATTCAAATAAAAAAAAGTCAAAATTGTTGACAAATCGTACAATGTGCGAAAAGGGTCGATCATCCTTCATGAACTTCGACTCACATTTCTAATACCCATCCAAAAGCTTTATCAGTCTCGGGATCATCCTTCATTCTCAAAGAAACATTCATCCACGTGGGAGCGATTTTTTCAAGTAGATCCTGCAACAAATCAACTTTAGTTACATTCTTGTAGATCAAAGTCACATTTATATTTTCGAAGGTATATGGGGTCTCAAAAATTGTTTTTGTAGTACCTTTCTTATAATAACAGGAGAATTACCGATTGGATCAATGTTGGTCACTGGCCCATTTTCTTGAGGATAATATTTCCTGATTATTTTTTCGTTTTCCGCAGGCTTAATGTAGAAAAAAGGGAATCCGGCAGGAAATTCTCCACGAGCCAAATTAGGCAGTGGATTTACGAATATGTGGTCAGGCTCCGCCATCAATATATATCTGCGAAGGGTAAAATAGACATTTAACTTTTGTTGAATTTAATACGAAAAAAGAAACTAGTTGGCATAAGAATACTCACTCCTCTTCAATAGTGGCCCGCTCCAGCCATTGCACAAAGGCCCAAGGTCTGTTTAAAACTATGTACCCCTGTAAACCAAAAAAGATCCATGTTACAAAAGCAAAATTGTATTCTAAACACTAATTGCAGAATATTCGAAGGGAAATATTTCTTGAACAATTAGAAACTTGCAACATGCATAAATAAGCACCCGGGAAAGAAAGAACAAGCATACCCCACATAGGCTTTAATCAATTTGGAGCCACGATAAGTTTTACAAAATCTATATAAACATCAACCAAACAATGGACCCAGTAAATTTAAACTTTATATAAACATTTATTGATCTTAAACCGGTAGCTTGAATGACAAACTTTGATTTTCTTCAACTAAGCAAACACAATATATAATTATCATGATCATACTTGTAAAAACGAAGTTTGTAGGTGAAGATAACTTTTCAAACACTTTCATATAGTGTTCTCCTGGGCTAACTTTACATTTTTATGTATTGTTTTATACATGCAGTTACTCATAATGATCTGAATTTTAATATCTAGAGGAAGAAAACACCACAAAATTCAAAGTTGATTAAGTTCTTGAATAAAAGGTCTAGAACTTGGGAACATAGTGATGGAATGGTTGAAAAGAGCAATGGTTGAAAAGAGCAACACTTTTGATGAATAATAACAAAGAAACGTCACCGAAGTATTTAAGATCCATCAAAGTGCTTGTTAATCAAAATCTAATATAGCATCATATCCTAATAACATGTAAACAAGAAGCCTAGAAATATTAAGAAAAACCGAATGAGAAACAAAAAAGAATATAGGGAGGAAAGGCGACGTATAGCATAAACAAGGAGAAAGACGGTACATTACTCACTCCGTCCCAAAATAAGTATCCACGTTTCTAGTTTAGTTTGTCCCAAAATAAATGTCCACTTTCCCATTCTACCCTTAATTATCAGATGGATAAAATTTATCTCTCTATTGGTAAGGGTAAAAGCATCATTTAGTTAATTAAAAAGTGTAATAATTACACATTCCTACAACCGTGTGCCATTTTCAGTGTAGAAATTTATTTTGGGATGGAGGAATAGAAAAATGCAGAAGGCAAGTGTGATTAAATAAAATAGAGTAGAGGAGACAGAAAACTTAGCGTGAAACTCCAATAATTTCGATTAGGAATGTGTAATTTTTACTTCTTTAAAATAGTAAAGGACATCCAATTATTTCAATGTCTTATTTCCTATTTTGGATCTTGAAGTATTTGAAGGCTTCTAACCAGAAATTAAAACGATACGGAATCAAGTCAAATACTTTTTTAAAAACTACCCAACTAGGCAATTAGTATCTCAGCAACGCTTTTGAAAACTAGCCAACTAGACAACTACTTAAAGTCAGTTTAATCTTGTACTTAACAAAATTATGCCATTTAAATACGAGACTAGGATTGCTCATGAGTCCTTTGAAACTTGGATGGTATTTTCCAGCCTATTTACTCCAAGTTGATCCATTTATTGGACTTCCATAGATCAACTGTCCGTGATTTCTCTTTTCAAGTCTAAAGCAATTAAGGTCATAAACATTCCTGAAAAATAACGACAGCAAACACTTGGTCTGTAGGTCATACACCTTGCGGCAAGAAGAAACTTGAAGGAATATTGGAGAGCTTGTTGAGTGGCTTTACAGGATGACAACAGAAACTAGAGATGATGATACTAGTGAAAAATGATGCATTGCAAAAAGGCAGAATCAATTCTGCGAAGATTCATAGAATGCCAGAAACAGAAGCGGTGAGAAAAACTATGAGGTACCATAGAAACGAACCAAGAGGTAAAAGAGCAGGACTCAAAATATATCCCTATGTTCCATATATACAATATGTGACCTCATCTTAAACTAGAAGACCACTTCCCCTAGATACTCTTAAAAGTTCTATACTGGACTCAGCAGCTGATAGTTTTTGTTTTGTTCCAAAACTGTAGGCTTTAATGATTCTGGTTCCATGTAGAGAAAACTTTCTTTGGATATAAGAAGGGAAAAAGCACTATACTACTTCCGAAATGATGATGCTCATATGGCTTAAAGATTGCCTGTGATAATGCTCTTCCTTCAACTGCTAATGTTTGGGTCTGGCCTCCTAATGTTCCCCATTTTATTCAGCATCATTTATGAACTCCTATCGACACTTAATCCCTAGTATTCTAAATATATGAACTCCAGAAAAGGATGTATAATCTAATTTAAAACAAATGCTCTGCTTCACAACATTTGATGCATTGACTCCTAGCTGAACTAAGGGGTTGTTTGGTTGGTTTTCCATTAAGTTTTGTATAGATTAGGAAGTTTGTGTTGATTAATATGTCTATATAGACTGGGAAGGTTTTTGTTTGAGAGGGTTTTTTTATAGATAGAAGAAAGGTGTTTATTAATTGGGAGGGGCAGGTTTGGGAAAAAACTGCTTTCTGCATAAAACTCCCCATTAGAAGCTTACTGAATAAGCCACTTTCTATATCATTAAGCCCCTACCAAACAGTCATGTATAGCTGACGGAATAAGTTGTGAGTCCCATTAAGATAATGCACTGTAGACAAGTTTATGATGATCAGTTTATCATACTCGACCGATCTTTATATCCTCTCCTTCAACTGATGCTTTACAAATCGGTATCTCCCTCTTTTATAAGAGACCGCATTCCTCAATGAAAGATTCTAGTTCCAATAATGTTTTAGGGTCATCTACAAAAGCCTAAGACTGCATACAAATAGTAAAAGTACTCTACTCCCTCCGTCAAGAAATAAATATCCACATTTTTATTTAAGTTTGTCCCAAAATAAGTGTCCACTTTGAAAATTAGATGGTTATAATCTATTAAATTTCCAACTGTACTCTTAATCATGACGCACAAAGGTTAAAGAGTTGATGAGATGGTTTAGAGAGAAAAGGTTTGCCACCATCATTAAGGGTTAAACTGTTATTTGGTTAATTAAAAAGTGTTGTAATTACATATTTCTTAATCCAATATAATCATTGAATTTGAAACTGTAAGTGATACACATACGTTGATTTAGTTGATAAGCTTTCTTACTTAAGTAACACATAAGATATCATCCTCCACTTAACCAATGACCTTCCAGCCCATGACAACAAACATAAATCTGTAACCGAAGGAAAATCTGTGTAGGTCTACCAAATACTTGAAGTGATGCAAACATTTTGAAAAGAAAAATGCAACTTCTTGTGATGCATCTTCATGTTCCACCCTATTGTGTATCCTACAATGCTTGCCGGGACCTTGGAGATATGCATGCGCACACATTGACACACATATATATACATATGCATTTGCATGCACATGTACTGTGTTTATGTGTGTGTATGTATATACACACACACATAAACATTTGTACTCCCTAAACAAGACAAGTACTTGGAAGGAAAAATAAAAAATGAGAGCACCACAATTTTGAAAACAATAATTCAAGTTTCCATTTAAAACCAACTCAACTTGCCTTTGCCACAGTTACAAACCCAAAAACGACTCGAAGTAATCATTTAACGAAAATGGCATACAAAGATTTAATGCACCAACACTACAGAAACAACAACAAACCAAAGCGATACCTTGTTTTAATGCAATTTCAGCTTAAAAAAATTCAGGGAACTTGACCAAATCTTTGATAGCTTGTTTAGTCACCCACTGCTACAGAATAGCATTTAAACAACTATAACTATACCTGATTGTTGATGTTCATTTTGGCATCCTTCTCAACTAACGTTCTTATAGAAAACTTGTTCAAAAAAACAAATAAAACCTAACCTTTCAAGAATTGGGCAAAACGAAATGGAACCAACTTTTGCCTTTGTTCCTATTTTGGGTAAGCAACTTTCAGAAACTACATTTTGGGGAACCAACTTCGATTTCATTCCTACTTTTAGCACATGAATTTGGTCGGTCCCTTGGATGAGAAGTTTTCAAAGTTGGTTCCCCAAAAATGGAGGTTTTAAAAGTTGGTTCCATATTGGTTCGATTTGCCTTTTAAATTAAACCATGCATTTTAATCATGGCCCAAATTTTCTCAAAAGGATAAATCCTGTAGCTTTCAAAAAAGTGAATAATAGGAAATGAACATACATGATCTTTGCTTAATCACAAAACATGCTAGAAAGTGGTGATTTCTATATGTTGAATTGGAGGCCAGTATTACATCATATTCTCTTTGTTCCATGAAAATCAGAATGTTCAACTACATATAGTCTAAGAGAAGTGTTTGAATGCTAACCATGTGTCTTAAGTACCCTTTAATAATGACATAATAAAAAGAATCTTGTGGACTCGGATCAATATCATTAATTTTTTGCAATAACTATAGTGGGTGAATGTGTCATTTTAATTTAAAAAGTTGTCCAACATGGAACTGCAGTTTCTATGGGCGTCCTGAAATGAATATGACAATTTTCATGTGACAGGGAGAGTAATAGTTACAGGGGCAAAAATGCAACGAAGTTTGCCTTAATTCCAATTTAGTAAGGAGAATTTTTTTCTTAATCAATGTAACATAAGTTTCAAAATTTTCTATTTTTACCCATTCTAACCAGTAGCTTGGTGATCTTGTAACTTTTGATGTCATAGAGGTCAAGTTTATCGTCTACTTCGTCATAACTCTTTCGTAAACGGTTATCCATGTTATCAAATGCTAAAAGATCATTAGGTTACCGGTCAAAATGGATACAAAATGGAAAATTTGGAACTTTGTTATGACAATTGAGAAACAAAATTCTTCATCATACCAAATAAGAAGTAAACTAAACTTTGTTGCATTTTGATGCATTTTACCCGATTAATCATATTATAAGATGTTGCATAGGCTTATCAACACAAAATACATATTACCATATACAAAAACTAGGATATATAATGAAAAAAGAAAGGAATCGGGTTTCTTACTCGATCCAAACCTGATGGAAGGGGGTCAACTACAAAAGTTGGAATCTCATCCATCAGATTGTCGGGTTGTCCGGAATGGAGAATCCTGGTGAACTTTCCCATCTCTGATCCCACCATATTTTTCTGCTTCTTATACCAATAATACATAATACGGCATTGCCATTTGCTATAAGGAGCATCTGTAGCTGTCAATGCAACATGGAATAACACCTTGGTACCCCCTGGTTTCTTCATATTATCAGGCATCTCAACAATAGGATCAAGCGACAACCGTCCAGAATTCATCCCTTTGTTGCGAACTATCATTGTTATTAAATTATATGTTGCAAAGAATGAACCGACAGCCAAAAGAACAAGGAACAACAATGATGTACAACTCATATTTTTCCTTGCCATCTTAACTTCTATTCCAGAAACATTAACCTTCAGTTTTTCCACTTTTGAAGAGCTACAGAAGTCGGTCAACTAATTACTCTGATACATCAGCAACCATATGATACGCAGCCTCTTAATATCTTTCAGAACAAAGTAGCATTCATTCAAATCAATCTGTATTAGACATAATGAAGGTCAATGTCATATAAGTCAACCAGTTGACTTTAATCATATAAATGCATTAACATGCTAATACATGAAAACCAAATCAAACCAAACGAGTCCATTATATCCCACTCCCACCAAAGGTAGGGTCGCCCTGCCAGGTGGGGGTGGGGGTGGGGGGGTTATGACTTATGCATACCTGACCTCTACCCTAAAGAGTAGAGAGGTTTTTTCTGTGGTGACCCCCGCCTAGGGAAATGTGTGTGAAAGGGTGAAAAACATATGCTAAAACAAGAAAAGCTAGATAAAAGTAAGCAACAACGATAAAAATAGAAGCAAGTTCAGAAAAAATACACAATGTGTGAAACAACACAACCCTAGTCTAACTTAGGTCTCCGATAGCCCAACTACCGACTCACTATCCCTATCCCCTACCTCTAGCTCCTAGTCTTGCGTCTCTAAGAACTCCTATCAGAGCTCATGTCCTAAGAAATGCCTAAACATGATAATGTGACTAAACATAAGCATAAAGTCTAACAAAGTACTCCATAGGAGTCCATACAACTACATCAAATTAGCTCTAAAATTTATCATAGAATCAAGAAATATTAACACATTAATTTGATTCAAACCCCATAAAGCAATCCTAGCAACATGAATAATTGAGTTAAAACATTTGTAACTAAACTTGGCTTTATCTTTCAACTATTACAATTGCAGAAAGCCCAGCATACTATAACTGGAAAACATGTACTAATCAATTAATCATTGTACCTTTTCCCAGCTTCCAAGCAATCTTGTAATGGAAGTTAGGGCAAAAATGTGCCAAGTTTCCAACAATTTCCTTTGGGACTTTTACAAGTAAATGGTTATTTTTGAGAGCTGGATTTGAAATAAAAGGTGAATACAATCACATAAATGTATTTGTAACCAATAGCATATGAACATCAAAACTAAAAACAAAGCTCCAATCAAATCCCATCCTTCTCTAGCACTGAATATGGCCTAAAATCAATAGAATGGTAAGGGTGTGCATACAAAATGCATTGCGACCAAACTCGAACTTAGATTCCAGAGCCCTAAGCATAATGTAGCTACAACAACCAGATCATAAGCTCCTAAGTCCTAATTGAATCCCAAATAATGAACAACTATGCAGGGAAAACCTCATAGAATCGGGGATTGAGGTAGTAATTGCAGATAAACCCCAAATTTCACAAACAAAAACCAAAAAGCGAAGTCAAATCAACGATAGATTTCGTGACGAAGAAGCAAACGGTCATCATGTGAATCATAAAATCAACTCTAACAGTCAACAAAATAGAAGTATTGCCACCATAAAACCCCGATTAAATCTTGAATTTGTTGTACCTTAATCAACGAAATGATGGTGACAGGAAAAGCAAGAGAAGGTTCTTGTTCACGAGAAGGAAACGTTCAAGTGGCGATAGGCACAAATGGAAAGTAGCAGAATCTTGAAGAAGGTTCTTGAGCTTTAAGGTTTTCCAATCTCGAGATGCCTGCCAATTGGCAAATGCCCCACGAACATTCAACGCTGAAATTTAGACCAGATCCATGATAGACAAAAAGGGTTTTCCTTTCTTTAAATCTTTTTAGTCAGTGCTCTCATTCTCTCTTTGCAGTTTGGAGGTCGTCTCCATTTTCCAGTGAATATATATATATATATATATACCCACATATATGTACACGCATATATATGTATGTATGTATGTATACATACATTTTGTAGATCATAAATAACAATTAAAATAGTTAACATTTTCAATGCCAAACACAATTTGACAAAATAGCTGAGTGTGTTAATGGATTGAGTTGATCGGGTTAAAAGCATTACAACAACCTAATTCAATGTATATGATTTGAAAAATCTCAATCCAACCAAAACTAAAATGCAATACAAATCGTGTGGATTGGTCGGGTTGATATAAAAATATTCTATTGATGTAGCTTATTCATATGCCTTGTAAGTATTTCACATTCAATTTACATATATGTGTTCGCATTTGCTAAACGTATATACAAAACATTTATATAGAGATGGAGAATAAATTGAAAATAAATCCATATGAATATGATACGTGATAGTGTAATTGTTTAATATACATATTAATAGAGACTTAATCAGGCCCATTTCTGACATTTTATAGGCTCTGGACGAACGTAAAAACAAGGTTCGCTGCAAGAAATAATGTTTTTAGCAACGACTTTTGTCATAACTAAAAGTCCATTTATCATCCGAAGAGTATATAACATAACATGTTGTTGCCATAACTTGTGGTGGAAACATGTTATCGCTAAAAGGCGCATCATCAAAACTCACTTTTCTTGTAGTGACTCCTCAGTAAGTATGGAAAAAATTCAATAAATGTTTTTTATTAGTAAAAAATTGAGTACAAGAAATGTTAATAATTTATTGAGAAAATAAATCTTATTTATCTTTATTATAAATATATAAGAGAATACTTAAATTTACGTATTTCTTGTTAGTTAATTTGAAACCAAGAGTATATAAACTATGGTTGATAAACTTTTATAAAAAGTAAGAATTTTTTTAGTTCATAACAAGAAATATGTATTATTTTGATACAAAAAGAGAATTTGTGTGAATGAAGTAATCTTGAGAGTCAATAAGAGATCAATAATAAATAATATTATCAAGGTTTTCTAGACAATTAGACAAATGATGATCAATAAAAATATGAAAGAAAAGATGATCTATTGAGATCCAATAAGAATAAATAATGAATTAAACATTAGTCAAACAATTTATGAAAATAATTAAATTATATTTTCCTTTTTTTTTGCTCAAGTAAAATAAGATGTTAAGATTATAAGTTCATGGAACATGACATATATAAGAGACATTAGTAAATACATTTAGTAGAAAAAATTTAATGATTAATCACAAAACTATGAAACACGTCATAAATTATAAGAACAATAGATTGATTGTCAAGCAATAGTAAAATATTTTATGTAGAAGCAAAAATAGATAACAATAATCAACAAAAACAATTAGAACAACATAACTAAATAGCAATAATCAATAGAAACAAACCACAAGGATGGTGCCTGATTGGTTTGAGCTTGGCTCCAAAGGTCAAAAGTGTCAGGTAGTCTCAGGTTCAAATCCAAGGAGGATTAAAAATCCCCTTGTGGTCACGGAGGTTCAAATGCGGTGACTTCGGGCTATCTGCAAAGCAGGCGGTCGCCCTGGGATTAGTTGGCTCACATAACGGGTTGGATATCCAGGTTAATAAAAAAAATAGTCAATAGAAACAAAAATTGATAAAAATATCCAACAAAAATATATAGCAGTGGCAAGCACATGATCTTAACATTGAATTATTGAAGCACGAAAACAGTCAAGCATATAGAGATAGCAATAGCTAATATCATTAGACCTTGTTCGAGATAAAAAAAAACTAGAGATGCAATAAACAATAGCATATAATGAATGATAATTATTATTTTTTTATTTTCTTCTCTAATGTAATTAGTTGATATGTTTTTGGGTCCTTATTATCTACTAAATTCTTTTTGTCTCTTATTATATGCTACAATTTTTTGGATTTCTTTAATTTATTAAGTTATTTTACACTACTATTGTATTTTAAGAAGAAAAAAAAATTGGGCCCTTGACATTTTTGGTCACTGGCCATGCGCCTGTGTCGCCCTCCCTTAGGAACGGTCCTGGACTTAATGATGATACTAAATCCAATAAATAAAAGAATATCAGGTTCATCGGGTTGCGGTGAGTTCAAATGACCGTAACCTGATTCCAATCCAATACTTAAAATTTTAAAACTCGATTAGATATCAGATTGTTTTAGGTTAGGTTATTTCACATTGGGTTCACCGGGTTTGTCATGTTTTTGAGCACCCCTAGATAACATATCAAAATAATATCAATTTTGACAAATATATTTTCAGCTTATTTCAAAAAACTTGTTTAGATAGATAAAAAGTAGCTTATAACTAGTTTTTATAGAAACCTTAATATGAGTGGTGTTTTAATAAGCTCCATAAATATTTTGTCAATATTAATTATTATTATTATTATTATTAACAAAAATTAATTTCAAACTATCATCAAAATCATTTTGTTCAAATAGTAATTTAAACTTTTTATTAAAAGCAATTTATGATGTAGTAAATATTTGAATTTAATTTACATATAAATAATAATTTAAACTTTTTTATTAAAAGCAATTTATGTTGTAATAAATATTTGAATTTAATACACATATAAATAATTGATTATAAAAGTCAATAAAAATTGAAGGTGAAAACTCGTTACAACTTACAAAGTCGTAAAATGTTTTTATCATGGTGATTTTTTATTAACGTTATTTGTTAAACTGAGGTTGATATTCTATAAAAGAAAAATACATAAATAAGGTTTTTGTAAGCCACTTCATTCCCATTACTTTTAAGGGGTGTTTGAATCGTTTATTTAAAATAACTTATGTTTTTCTACAAAAATCTTTATCAATTTATTATAAGTAAAAATGGTTTAATTTTTTCAAAAATCATTTATTACCGGTATAAATTATTTATCCAAACACTCAAAAGTATTTTTTACCGATGTCACATCAAAATAAATCAATAAGTTATTTTTATAAGCAATCTCAAATACCTCTTTAGAGACGTTGGGTTTAGAGAATTCATTAAGGAATTTAAATTTGAAAATCTTTGATGTTTAGTTTGTAAAATTTGAAATTAAATTAAATTTTATTATTTATTAATAATTTATAAAAATAATTAAATTTATTTTTTATTATAAAACTAACGTTTATTTAGCATATTTCTCACCAAATCCTGCAAAAAGATTTATATGCAATTAATTCATTAGTATCAAAATTATATATTAAAAAGAAGATTTTGATTAAAATCAATTTATGATGGAGTAAATATTTGAATTTAATATAGATAAATGGTTGGTTACAAAAGTCAATAAAGTAGAACATGAAACTTTTTAATCATACTCTTATTATCTTATTCATGTTTTATTAACATCATTGTTTTTGTTCATCTGGCCTTTATTTTCTAAGATATATATATATATATATATATATATATATATATAGGGGCTGGTTCAAATGCTAAACAAGATTATCGTGTTAACTTTGTTAACCGATCTTGGCCATTAATTTAAATAATAAAGGGTTATGATTTAATGATATTTAAAAATTAATTATTAAATTAATATTTTCAATTAACATATGTGAACAAAATATCAAAGGTTTTTTAGGTAAAAAGTAATTTATCTTTGATACACGAGTTGTCAGACATATGAACAACTTGTGTATATCCTCAAAACACATCAAACAAAAAAGATTAGACATATGAACAACATGTGAACTGTATGAACATCTTTTGTATATTCAGAAGCCAACTCTGTTGTATGTACATGAACACCTACGAAGCTTATGTTCACATGAATCACAGATACTGTTCATATTCATATGATGTGATTGTCATATGTATCGTTATGAACTTCTATTGCCTTTGATATGTGTTCATTTAAACGAATTCAAATGTCATACTAATCACTTACCAATAGGAAGACTTTGATCATTTTCTTCATTATCGGAATTCGAATTGCAAATGTAGTCATAGACGATTTTGTCATTTCCATTGTTGTCAATCTGTTTTACAATAGAATTATCCATATTATTCGGACGATACGTAAATCTTTTACACTTACAAAAACAATATCAGTATATGTAGAACATCATTTGTAAATTATGATCATGAACACGTATGAAAATAAAATTCAATATTACATCATGATCAATTAGTGAGATCTTTAAGATTTGTAACTCCCAATTAATTATTAGGGAATTACATAAATGTCAAATTACCTAATTACCCTTGTATTTAATATATGAGTTACATTTGAACATAAATAAAAGATGGAATATGATTGGTTAAGCTTGGTTAGTATAGTTAACACAAATTTCTTTGTTAGTATTTGAATCAAGCTCTCTCTCTCTCTCTCTCTCTCTCTCTCTATATATATATATATATATATATTACATTTCAAATGTAATCCATTACATTTATATAACCAATGCAACTCAATCAATTGAGATATTTATGAAAATGATGAGAGTTCATTTATTATGATTTGAATATATATGGAAGATGATTAAGGTTCATTAATTATGATCAATACTTTATATTAGGAAATAATCAAAAAAATTATGAAATCACATATTCATCAAATTAAATGGACGGTTGAGATTAAGTTGTATTGGTTGTACAAATATAAAGGGTTGCATAATAACTCACTCTTTCTCTCTTGAGATATATATATATATATATATATATATAGAGAGAGAGAGAGAGAGGTAAGATCAAATGTTAACCAAAGTTTTTGTGTTAACTTTGTAAACCATGTCAACCAATCATAATTCATTCTTTTATTAGGTTTCTATCATGTTCACAATTTATTACTAAGGGTAATTAAGTAATTTTATGTGCTATGTAACTACCATACTATTAATGGGGAGTTACAAAATCACAAAATCCCTAAAAATGTGCATTTTTAATATTGATATTTTTTAATCTTGATCTTTCATTTTTGTTGTTTTATGAGTTTTTGATTCGTGGAGGAAACACGGTAGTAAAATTTTTGGTATCGTTCAAGTTATTA